AGTTACTCCAAAAACAAAAATCACACTTTTTTTGAGTTAATAATTTTATTATTATTTTCACACAAAGAGTTACATAAAGTGATATTCAGTAGGTTGATTATCAGTAGTAGAAGCACAAGGATATGGACCATGGACTACAGAGGAGTGCCCTTTATCAGAGTGACCATGTGACCAAGCACACCACTCCAAGTGGCCTATGTACAGACAACCCAAATTCTACGTTCAGACACAGTCACAGAGTCAATGGCACAGTGTTGCCATACATCTAGTCAGCCATTGAAATTTTCTTACAATAAAAAAAAATGACAAAAATGACAGAATTGCACCTGCTGGAGTCATGTGGGGTGAAGATAGGGCTGAAATGCTCTGCTAGACTGTAGGCAAAAGAAGGTGGCATGAGGCTGTGAGCGTCCCTAGAAAGATCCATTACAAAAATGGCATTCAGGTATGTTTTAATCTTTTCCAAATATAGTCATTAAAAATTTTAAAAATTGTTTTTCTTCTTTTTCTTGACATAGTAATTAATACATATGTATGTAGTTCAATGCGATGTTTGCAGTCATGTAATGATCAAATCTGGGTGACAGGCTCTGGTGTATTGCACACAAAGGTAAATAGAGTTGGCAGTATTTCATTATATATCTTGAAACAGCTAGAATAGAGGATTTTTAGTATATTCTGATATTTTTAACATAACCCATTGAAAAAACAGGTTAAACATTGTAGGGCAAATACTTATGCTAGAATTAAGATACATGATGTTTTCAGTTTTAAAAATATGCAAGTAACAAAAGCATTATTTATATATTTCTTAGTGCCAGCAGAGGCTTCATTAAACCAGGTGGGTGGCTGTTGCTACTCTTGATTTTGTTTTGAAACAGGGTCTCATGATGCGAAAGCAGATCCTCCTGCCTCTACTTTCTGAGGTCGGGGATTACAGGTGTGCCACCACGGCTGACTTGTAAGTCATACTTTTGGTGCACTGGCAGTTTGAAGGTGAAAGCTGTTGCTTGTGGGGTTGTTTTCAGACTTGTGCAAAATTAATAGCAAGGGGATCATGGTGGACGCTGTGTGCAGAGGTATAAGATTGATGGGTTGCTCAATTTAATATTCCTGCTGATATAGATGAGTTAGCTACTCTGTTGTATAGGATAGTTCTAGGCTATTACGAAGTAAAATATTAAAGGATTTAGTTGTGGGAACATCATGTGTACAAGTGTGCAAACAGCCCACCTTGTTCCGTCAGGAATTGTGTAGAATTTGTGTAGCATAAACCACCCATTGCATTAAGAAGTCTGCTGTTTTACCTGCCCTCCCAAGGCAGTGTACTAATGCAGATAAAAGAAATTGCTGACAAGTTGTATATTTCTGTTTGCCATTTTTATAAGGACCTTCTTAGATCCATCCTGTGTTTATATAAAAACACAAACACATTCTAACATTTTCGGGTATGTTTGCTAATTATCCATTTCCTTCTGCGTATGGGCAAACCTTTCTTTACATAGCAAATGGATTCCTGAAAAATAGTCTATAATTTTTAATAAGGAAATATTTTCATGTAGAAGCAGAGTTTGTTATTTAAAGAAACTATGCAATGAGTTACTTTGAAAATAAAGAATGTTTTTATGAAATGAGTAATTTCTTTGATTTTTCAAATAGTTTGATAAAATACACATTTAAAATTTATTAGATTAGCATTGTCTAGAACAGTAGTTTGTAAGTAAGAAAAAAGAAAGAGATTTACAACAAACAATACAAACAGAATGACTCATGGACGACTTATTGATTGACTATATTCAGAAGCCCTGAATATGTGCATTATTGGTATTTTATGGCTTTAAGTAAGACTATAGTTTCTTACGAAATACTATAAAGTGCAATATTAAAAAATTAAAAAACCCAAAAGGCATCCATTGTCCCTCAGTTTTATCCTGATAAGAATTGGAGATTCATTTAATTAAATACAGGGAATCATATACCCTTAAGCATGCAATTTCATTATGGAAATCATTTTATTCAGGGATTCAGACTTACTTCACTTCTCTCTCATTTGTATAACAAGATTTAAAAAATTGCTATTCTCTTTTAGCTAGCTGAGTGTTTTAGAGCACTGTTAGCTTTTGTTACTTACATATCCATTATGAAGAAATTGCAACCCAAGAGAAAATTCCCATCCTTTTTGTGGGACCGTTTTTCCTAGGTCAGGAAATGATCTTACTGTTCCTATCCAGAAGTAAACATACTTGAGGACAAGTTGAGGTCCAACTATTTTTCTGACTTCCCATTTGAAGTTAAAATATTACTCTCTTGGTAACCTGTACAGATAAGCACAAACCCAGAGTTTTGGAATGATCTGAAGTGGTGCCTTTCCAACTTTCTTTGTGACTATTGGATTATAATGTTGTAAACAGAGTTGTGACCTTGACTTCACCAGAATCCTAAAATAATGCTGTATCCAGTGTTTATCTTGACACTGGAGAACCAATTCCTGATGGTGCATGTATTCAAGGCCTACTCGTGCCTAGAAGGTATTATTATGCTCTCTTGTGATTGTGGCTTCTGTCCGCCATTTATTAGCAATTAGAATGGACTCCACCAAGGAGTGTCAGCTACACAAAGTGTTGTTGGGGATAGAGGTCTACCATTTTTTTAAACATTCACATTGAGGAGGAAAAGGTAGTGGGGGGGG